AGCGACGAAATCCAAAACACAACTAACAGCAAAAACAACAAATATAAGACTCCTCAAAAAATCACAATGCTGGTTACAGCGACCACCAAAGATAACGATGAAATCAACGACCTAATAGCGATAACGCCAATGACAAAAGTATTTTATTTGATAATTCAAATAACGATGATGCCAACAATGAAAGTAATTCATCACTCAAATAACGATGGCACCAATTGCGTATTGGCACCAGAAAAATGATAAGTAATAACCCCAAAAAAAAAAAGCATTAGAAAAAGCAAGAAAAAAAGAAAACCAAATCAAAACAAAGAAAAGAGGAACCACAAGGAAAACAACATTCCAAAAAGCTTATTCAACACCACACTTCCATATAGTAACTATAAAATAGTTCTCAAGACCTAAAAAAAAACAAAAGACGTTAGTAACGCGTTCACAAGACAAAAACAATGAAAAATGAAACTATACGTCCCGGATCGAAAGTCATATGCTCCACAAATCCAAAAAAAGCTCAGAGGCGTCCTAAAAAACCTAGAAACAAAAAGAAGCGTTAATAACGTGTTCACAATCAAGAAAAACAAGAACAACGAAACTACAAAATCAAACTTTCCATGAATCCCAAGACAAACGTCCACAAATTCCATGAATGCTCTAAAAAAAAAAAGAACTATTAGTAATGCATTCAAAACAAGAAGAGTACCACAGACTGCTTCACCAGCCAAGACAGACAATACCAACACAGAATAAATGACACCTAAATGATGTACCGATAATAACACAAATTCCTATCAACAACGGCGATGCATAATTCACTAAGGCACCAACGACAAAGCCGAAACTACGACACCAACTCAAACAACGGCTCCGGTAACGATGACGATACCGATTCCAAACAAAGGATCTGGTAACGACGACACCAGTGACGACAACAACCTGAACTTGTCATTATAAAAAAAAATATATTAGTGACTAGATAACACGTTAAAAAAAAAAAAAAAAAAATTCAACTGATTTGATCAGTTGACGATTACTATTTATGCCCCATGATCAGGATGCACCATGGTGCACGGTACACCAAATTATAATTCTCTTAAAAATTTTATTAGCTTATTATAATATAATTTTAAAAACATAAATTTATTATAAATACCTAGAGAAGGAAATCTATAAATATTTGCATAATTAATTATAAAAGTAAATACTTCTAAGATAGTTTCAAATGATATTGTAAAATTACTAATTTTTTTAGTTAATTTATATATTCTTGGACTAATTTCATATTGTATAAAATAGTTTCAAATATTTTTTCAATATTTTTCTCCAATTTCATAAATTATTAAAAATGCATCATTACAAATTTCTATTCCTTCAAAAATATATTTATTGGCAAGTTTACTACATTTTTGATTACTAGTAGTAGTTTCTTGTCGAATAGTTGCAGATATTATTTCTAATAAAAGCATATCTTTTTGATTATTATTTAAATTTTAAAATTTTTGATAATTTGTAATAGCATGTTCATGAGAAATCAAAATTTGAAGACACTTCTCTTTACAACATATTGTAGTTTGTAATTTTTTATATTGAGTCTTTTCATCTTTTTTATCTATTTTTTTTTGGATTTTTTGAAATAAATTATCATTATTATTTCAATGTCTTCAATTTTATCTTTTAAATAAATTTTTTTAAATTTATTTATCTGTTCATCATTTAAAACAGGTTCATCTAAAATAAAATAGCCAATTTATCTAATTCTTCTTGATTATCAGAATATAGTTCAATTTGATTATTAGTAGATATTATTGTTTTAATATTAGATTGATAAGTTGTTTGAAATTTTTTTATTTGTTGTTGCAAAGATGATAATTCTGAATGAGTATCATTAAAAATATTATCAAATAAAATATGAGTTGAATCTATTTTTGGTTATTATAATTAAAAAAAATCAAATAAATAAGTTTATTAATAATAAATATAAGTTTATTAGAAAAATTTCAACAAAACTGTTTTTTTTTTTTTTATTATAATCAAAAATAATTCTTTTATACTTTAATTTATTATTTTTAAATCTATCATATATAAAATTATCAGGGTTGGCATGGACCGGTCAATGGTCAAGCTTGACCAGACTAGTTTGACCAATTTGACTAGTTGGTCAAAGAGTTTAGTATTGGTCAAATTGGTCAAAGGATATATAAATATATATACTATATATATACTGTCGACCCTCCCCAAACCGGTATGCATGGTGGACGGGTTTAGTATCGGTTTTGGAAGGTTATCGGATTTGAAAAAATCACGTGATAAGACGATCATTAATCTGCCAATCAAATTACAGAACCAGCAAAATATATTCGGTTAGAAAAATTAAGATCCATGATAAGTACTATAATTAAATAAAAATGTTATGCGTGTATAGCAGTCCGTTCAACAAATCGCTACTCTTTATTTAAAATTTCCCACATTTATCGTTACATACACCTTTTTAATTGGTACCCGTAGCATGGGTTTTATCCGATGAGGCTTGAAACCAGTTTGTGTTTATTACCAATTAGTGATATTTATTTTTTTTATCTTCGAACGCCAATCTGGTTCGATAGAGCCAAATTAGGTAAAGTTCTTAATCAGATGTGTTTATATTCTTGAAAATATCAATTAAATTTTAAATTAGCTTCGAATTTACGAGAAAGATTGATGCAACTAAATGCTTATAAATGAAATACTCTTAAATTTCCAGATATTTCACAAGCAAAAAAAAAAAAAAAAAAAATGATCAGAATTGTATAGCTGGGGTTTAAATGCTTATTTTAAAAACCATACCATACAAATCTGCTATAATTTCTAACCCAAATACTATAAATGCTATATAAAAGACCTGGGTCTATTACATTCCACCAATTTTAAAACCTATTGTAGACCCAGGTCTAGTACACGACTAAGAGCTTGTATCATAGAAAGTAAAAATTTGAAATGCATACACGCTTTGCATTTATAACATGCAATCTAAATGTTCGAAAAGAATTACATTTCAACCTGAGAACTGCACCCGGGTCTAGTACCTGGTGGGTTTATTATTCAGGAGGATCTTTAATATGGCCGTTTACAGTAATATATAGCACCGGATCAGTATAGTACAGGTTTTAAAGTAGGGATATTTTGCATTATCTACATTATACTAATCTGTTGCTATTATAAAAAAATCAAATCATAAAAAAAAAAAAAATACATAATTTAGTAGAACTATAATATTATGTATTGTAATCTTAATGGTGGTGAATTCAAATAAAAACCGCCATCAAATAAAATAAAAAATTAAAATAAAATAAAATAAAATAAAAATAAAAACTAAAAAAAAAGGATATCGGGTTAATTTTTGTATTTTCAACTTTTACCCTAATGTAATGGGAAAAAAAAAGGATAAAGTCATTTTAGCTGGAAACTTGCGTAATGACCAAAGGAAAATTATATGTGACTATTACCAAGAGAATCCGGCAATTACTCAGAAGGAACTTGCGGAGTGGGCCAAAAATGAATTCAAGCTAGCAAAAGCCCCCGGCCAAAGTACAATTTCTGACATTTTAAAGAGAAAAGATGAGTTCAACAAAATGTCAGCAGCTGACCTTGGAATTAAAAAGTGTCATATCATTATGTTCCCCGAGCTAGATACTGCTTTGGCGAACTGGGTACTACAGTGTGAACATCGGGCTGTACGTTTGAATGGAGACATGATTAAAGCGAAGAGTAAAAGGTTAGCAGATCTAATGGGGGTGAGTCAATAGAAATCAAGCAAATTTTTATAATAAAATGTTTTTGAAGGTTTGAATACAAATAACTTAACAAAATTTTAATCAAAATTTTGTTAAGTAATTTTAGTTTAAAGGTTTAAAAAAATTTACTAAACAAAATTTGCTTGATTTCTATTGACTCACCCCCTTCTTAATAAAGATCCCTGAGAGTGATCAGCCTGAATTTTCAAACGGGTGGTTGCAGGCTTTTCAAGAAAGACATAATTTTCATCATTTTAAGTTGCATGGCGAGAGTGGTTCCGCTGATGTTGCTGCTATAAACCTAAAACTTCCCGATATCATTAATACTACTAATCAGTATTCCCTTTGTGATATTTATAACATGGACGAGACTGGTCTATTCTATGCTATGGCTCCTGACCGTACAATTGCGTCTCGCCAAATTGAAGGGTCGAAAAAAGATTGTACAAGACTCACAATTGCATTTACAGCCAATGCAGATGGTACCCACAAACTTCAACCTCTTATTATTAGGCATTCTACAAGACCTAGATGTTTCAAAAAAAAAACAGGTGAAGAGCTCGGGTTCTATTACCGTAACAATAAAAAAGCATGGATGACAGCCATATTTTTTCAAGAATGGATGGAAAAATTGGACAAAGAAATGAGAGAATTAAACCGTCACATTTTACTTATCCTTGATGGTGCTCCCTCGCATGTTACTGGTGCCCTCATCTTGACTAATGTGAAAGTACTCACATTACCTCCATATACAACATCCAAAATACAACCAATGGATGCTGGTGTTATCGCATCGTTCAAACTTCATTATCGTTATATTCAACTTCAACACGCAATTGACCGTGACGAAGCTGGAGAAAAAGATATCTATAAAATAGATCAATTGCAGGTAGTGATACAAATTAAAAATGGTTAGGCCATTAAAAAAAAAAAAAAAAAAAGCTCTCAAGCACCTAAATTCATATGTCGGTGCTCGATTTTTAATTAGTGAAAATTAGCTGATCAAATAAGTTCATTATCACAATGAACAAAAAAAGATGGTCAAAAACCATCTTTTTTATCATAGAGTTATGCTAATTGGCTAAAATTTAATATCCACATTTCACAACATGAATCTTTAGCAGAATTGTCGTAAGGATTATTTAAATTAATCGTAGTACTTTGTGTCATTAGCCAATCACATAGATAGAGATACTTGAGAGCACCCTAAATCTAGTTGTAACTAACCAAAGACCAATTAATGGATTGAAAAAAAATTTATACTAATGTTCTATTGATTGCAGGCTATGAAATGGATTAAGATTGCTTGGAGTGAAGTATTAGCTGAAACAATCAAAAGATGTTGGTTCCGTACAAAAATCATATCCCCTCATGATGAAAATGAAATACCTGTCATTCCCCCATTGCTGTTGAAAGCATTGATGATATAGAAGAAAACCTACCTCTTGATTTGAATGATCAACAAGCGGCTAAAGAACTCCAACAGCAAATAGATATATTGAATCTCCGTAATCCAATGCCAGTTGAGGATTTGCTAAACCTTGATGAGGAACAAGAAGTACACCACCAGTATACTGACGAAGACCTGATTCAGACTGCTATGAAAATGGAACAGGTAGAAAACGAATTTGTTGCGCTGCCCCTAACCGGAGAAGAACAATTGAATATTATACGTGGTGCTCTAAAGATTGTTAATGAGAGGATCGATGATTGTGGAGTAACAATGAAAACATTACGCAAGCTACAAACCTGTATTCATGAGGAGGTTCGAAAAGAGAAAGCCGAAAAGCAAGTTCAACATAAATTAGAACAATACTTCCAAGCTTGAAAAAAAAATGGGTTTAGTATTATTTTTTTTTCCTTTACTAAACTACGAAAAAGGATTTTTTGAGAAACTTGAAAAATTAGCAAAAAATAAAACAAATTTAATAAAAAATAAAGTAAAAATAAAAAGTTATACTGGCGAAACTTAGATTTTATCAGCATAAATAGTAAAAGAATTTAAATATCAAAAGAATTTTTTACTGATTAATAAATGCTCTTGATCACCCGCTTTTTTGCTTCATTGAATTCAAGATTCTGATTGGTTGTTAATTATATGATCCCTTCTGATGAATCAGGAACCTATGCATTTGGACTATCGGATATCAGAAATGGCAGGTTATCGGGTATGAATTAAGGAACAGACCCGGTGGATCGATTTTTGACCGATTATGGCAGGTTATCGGTTTTGACAGGATCGGTTTGGGGAGGGTCGACAGTAGTTAGAAATCTTTATCATAGAAAAATTTTTTTCTTTTCTAAAACCATATCCTCTTTTTATTAGCTAGTACTAAGTTGAAGAAATTTGGCAGCCTGGTCAGGTGACTTATCTGCCCTCTTATCCAAGTCTTTTTAATAACAGAAGAACCATTAATCTCTAGATTAATATAGGTTTATTGTAATAAAGTTTCTACTATAACATTATATTAATAAGAAAAAAAAAAAATTTTAAAATAAATTTGATAAAATTAAACTAGAATATTAAATAAATATTTTTGCTAAAAATTATTTAAATTTATAATTTTTTAAAGTTTTTAAAACTGTACTATTAGTATACAAAGAGTGTGCTTCTATCTATTAAAATAAAAAATTTTCACCAATTTTGGGTAAGTAGTTATCAAGATATTATTGCTTAAAGTTTGAAAAAACAGTCATGATCTTTGAATTGATAGTTGCCTAAATTAGTTTAAACTTTGAGAGAGGATAACTCCATAACTACATATCTAAAATCGATAAATATTTTTTTATTTTAATTCTATGAATCTATAGAATTAAAATAAAAAAATTTTATCAATTTTAGATAGGTAGTTATAGAGATATTCTTATTCAAAATTAGATGATCATGTATCTAATATTAAAAGACTGCAGCAAAGTTTTTTTCAGACTTTGAACAAGAATATCTCTATAATTACCTACCTAAAATTGATAAAAATTGGTTATTTTAATTATATAAATTCACAATTAAAAAAAAAAACAACAAATTTTATTGATTTCAGATAGGTAGAATTGAGATATCTTCATTCAAAACTCAAAACAAATTTAGACGATTATCAAAAGACTACAGCAAAGTCCTTGAACAAGGATATCTCTATACTTACTATCTGAATTTTTATTTTAATTTTATGAATTCATAGAATTAAAATAAATAATTTCATGATCTTAAGTAGGTAGTTATAAAGATATCCTCATTCAAAATTCAAACCAATTTAGATGCTTATTAAGACTGTAAGTTTTTACCAAATTTTAAGCGAGGATATCTTTATAATTATCTACCTAAAATCGATATAAATTTTTTTGTTTTAATTTTATGAATTTATAGAATTAAAATAAAAAATTTTTATCAATTTTAGGTAGATAATTATGGAGTTATTCTTTCTCAAAGTTTAAACCAATTTAGGTAACTATCAAATCAAAAATTGTGGCTATTTTTTCAAACTTTAAGTGATGATATCATGATAACTACTTACCCAAGATTGATAAAAAATTTTTATATAATTTTATGGACTCATAGAATTAAAATAAAAAAGGTTTTGTTAATTTTAGTAATGTAGCTACTGAGATATTATTGCTCAAAGTTTAAAATATTTTTTTAAAGACATTGATATCATCTAATCAAAACGTGATAGTGACAAATTTTGTCGCCATGACTTTGGTATATACGTACATAATACTAGGGATTTTTTTAAATTTTTTTTTACTAGATTAATGATATTTATATATTTTTAGTTGCATATTGTATTCAAAAATCTATCAGGTTGGCCAAAGAGTATATAGTAATTGATCTAATTAATTGCAATATACATATTCATGTAATTCAAAGCTATGGTCAGTTGGTCAAAGTTGTGTATATATATATTCTATTTCTTATTTATATACTGCATATATTTAAAGCCTCCAAGTCAGCTGAAGGGCATGATAATTAAGGTCAGCCAAAAGTGTTTTTTAAACTCGCAATAGAAAATTTGTAATAATTTGCAAAAAAAGACAATTATGAATTGTAGCAAAAATGAGTCAAAAATGTATTTAAATGGCACTTTTAATCCTGAATAAATTTTAAAATTCGATTTAAATTCAAATAAAAAATTTAAACAATTAACATTTGTTTAAGAATGTTGCTAACTTTCACCCTAGGTGATATTATCTAGTTCAGAAATTAGCTTGGAAATTGGTTTGGAAAGAATGGACCCAATTACATAACAACCCAGAAATCAGCCTATAAAAAATAAAAATAAATTAAAAATTAAAAAAAAAAACATAAAAATAACTATATACTGTATATATTGTATTATATCCTAAATATAACTATATACCATATATTTC